GCCGAGGGGGCTCCCCCTCCCCCGGGGAGCGGGGCGAAAGCCGGGGCAGCCCCCGGCGCTGCCCGCCCATCTCCGCTCCCGCTGTTGTTACCTCTGGGACGTGGGATCCGCTTCAAAACACGTTGTCCCGCTGCTGAAATGCTGGGGAGGGGGCTGCGGCGCCTGGGGGGGCCCTGGGGGCAGACGGCCTGAGAACCAGGGCGTCTGCAGCCGCCGTGGCTAACTCGCGGCGAGGGCACACCGGGCTTGTCAGATGCTCGTGTGGGAGCAGAATCACGGAATCATTTCGGTTGGAAAAGACCCTTAAGATCATTGAGTCCAACCGAGCGGTGGTGTCCCCCGCGCTGCGGTGGGGCTGGGCCGGGGTTCGCTGCCTGGCCCGTCGCGCGTGACGCTGCTCACTGTTCACGGCTGCTCGTTACACCTCGTGCGCGCCTTCATTCCTTGGCCATATAAGTTAACGCTAGTCGCCACCGCGGAGGGGGGAGTGACTTGTGCTGAAGTGTGTTTATAGAGGCACAAATACTCGGTGTTTAAGAGTGGCGACGTTGTAGGGCTGCACAAAGTGGTTAATTAATTTCGGGGAAGCTGGAGATGTCGCAAGAAGCGTATTGCTTACAGAAGGGTGAGTTCAGGTCTCGTGCCCAGCCTCGGCGGCTCCTCTGCAACAACAGAAACTGCCCTTACGGCATCTCATCGCCGGGGAGCATCTTCCCCCGGCTGGGACAGAGAAATCGCCGGATCCCAGGAGGAACCGTCCTGCCTGGAAAGACAGGGAGCACGCTGCTGTGTCGTTCCTCTGCAAGCAGAGCAGGCGAGGCAGCGCAGCCACCCTGGAGCCCTTCCCAAGGGATCTGTCCGTCTGTCTGGTCGTCTGCCGGGCGTTTTGAGTGGGGAAAAGGGGATGGTGGTTTTGTCCTGGGTTTAAATGTAGCTGCGGCCCTGGCACCTTGAGCGTTCCTCTGCTTTTCAGTTGCTGCTTGCGGACCTGAGGAGCGCTCGCGCCGATGGAAGGAACACACTGTGCGGCCGGGGAGCGCTCGGTGTCACCCGGGGCACGGGGGCACGGCAGGAGCCCTCCTGCTCCCCGATCTGACCGCTGCCTCTCTCCCGCAGTGTGGCTTGGCGTCATGCTCCCAGTGCTCGGGATCAAGTCTCTCTCCCCGTACGCCGTTGCCTACCTGGACCGTCTGCTGATGTGAGTGAGTTACACCTCGGTTTCGTTATCGGGGTATCTTCGTTAAGAGGAATGAACGCCTGCCCGGGCTGCCGGGTGTGGTGTGACTCTGTCTGCGTTGTGCTGGTGGAAAGACCCGAGCGTGCGTGCGGGAGAACGCGAGCAGGCAGGTGTGCGTGCCCTGCGGAGCCTGCGGCGCTGGGCTTGCCGCGCGGGTTAGTTTGTCCCTGACCTTTGGTGGCTGCCTGCTGCGTCGGGTGTCCAGACAGCGTTCGCAGTGCCTCCTGACCGCGTCTGGTGCCTCGGTGGCTGCTGGTTCCACTACGGCTCTATAGAAACACCGGGTTTCTGCACAGGTTTCCTCTCCGCCGCTGCTGGTGCCTTTCCTGAAATGGGGAGGGTAGGTGCTGGTGGTGGAGGGGGGAGCAGAGCCCCTCCCCGGCCGGCCCCGGTGACCTCCCCGAGGCAGGCGAGCGGCCGAGCTGCCCCTC